GGCGGGAGTAACTATGACTCTCTTAAGGTAGCCAAATGCCTCGTCATCTAATTAGTGACGCGCATGAATGGATTAACGAGATTCCCACTGTCCCTATCTACCATCCTGCGAAACCACAGCCAAGGGAACGGGCTTGGAAGAATCGGCGAGGAAAGAAGACCCTGTTCAGCTTGACTCTAGTTCGACTCTGTGAAATGACTTGAGAGGTGTAGAATAAGTGGGAGCCTTACGGCGCAAGTGAAATACCACTACTTTTAACGTCATTTTACTCATTTCGTGAGGTGGAGCCGGAGCTCTGCCCCTGCTTCTCGATCCAAGGTGCAGGCCCTCGTGGTCTATCCGATCCAAGCGAAAGACATTGTCAGGTGGGGAGTTTGGCTGGGGCGGCACATCTGTTAGAAGATAAGGCTGGGGTCCTAAGATGAGCTGAACGAGAATAGAAATCTCGTGTGGAGCAAAAGGGCAAAAGCTCATTTGATTTTGATTTCCAGGCTCATCGCGCCGGCCAGCCTGGCGGGACTACCCTCAATGGTCGTGCGACAAGGACCCCCCAAGGCCGTCTCCAACCTGCACAACCTTTCAAAAAAAAAAAAAAAAACAAAAAAAAAACTATGAGAGCGTGAGTGGCGGATGGCCCAGTGGTTAGGGCACCGGTTGGAAATGCACATTGTGGTCTGAGGTTGTGGGTTCAAATCCGCAACCTCGTGCATATGCCGCCGGCACGGATTTAGGTTGACGCACTACCACTCACACACTGAGCGCGCACGCTCCCAGGGGCACGGATGTACACTGGGGTTCACCGTTCAGCACTGGACTTGGGGAGCCACCTGCAAGGGTGCCCACTAGATGCTGACAACCCAAACCGTACTTCCTGGGTCCCTGCAACGGTTGAGCGAGTGCCTCCCCTTGGGGTTGTCGAGGCCATGGGGGGGGAGTGGCTCCGGGAGGGGTAGGCTCAGTTGGCACGTGCGGGAGGAGTGAGGGGGTCACCCCTCGCCTAGAAGGGACTGGCGCGTCCCTGTAGCACCACGGTGGCTGTGGTGCTTACGCTTCCCGGCCGCGGAGCCGCAGGGAGGTGAAGCCCTGAGTGGGTGTTGGGTGACCCCTGGCGCATCCGCCTGGTAGCGCCGGTCTGGGCGGAACACCGGGGTGGGTAGCGAGGATTGTGAGTTCCCTCCTTGACAGATCACTGGGTAAGGCGGTGGGTCCGCTGCACCGCCAGTAGGGCTGACCCCGGCGCGGAAAGCCCTCTGGCGGACATCCTCCCTGGGTCATAACCCCCGACACCTCTACAACCCTTTATAAAGAGAAAAATAAAAATAAAAAAATTGTGAGAGCATGGCCTATTGATCCTTTAGCGTTTCAGGACTTGAAGCTAGAGGTGTCAGAAAAGTTACCACAAGGATAACTAGCTTGTGGCAGCCAAGCGTTCATAGCGACGTTGCTTTTTGATCCTTCGATGTCGGCTCTTCCTATCATTGTGAAGCAGAATTCACAACGTGTTCGATTGTTCACCCACCAACAGGGAACGTGAGCTGGGTTTAGACCGTCGTGAGACAGGTTAGTTTTACCCTATTGATGCACCGCCGTCGCAATGGTAATCCAACCCAGTGCGAGAGGAACCGTTGGTTCGCACAATTGGCAATTGTGCTTGGCTGAAAAGCCAGCAGTGCAAAGCTACCGTGCGTGAGATTATGACTGAACGCCTCTAAGTCAGAATCTGTGCGTGCAGCGACGACGTATGCCTCCTCGGATGACACAAGGTTGTCGATAGGGCCAGCCCGTCTGGCCCCGAAAGCATAAGTTCGGAGTTGTCCCTCCTGCGGCGGAGCACCGACGCCCTGGGGGTCTCTTCATCGCAATTTCTTTCGCTCGGGGAGTCAAACCCTTTGCAGACGACTTAGACAGGGAACGGGGTGTTGTAGGAAGTAGAGTGGCTTTGTCGTCACGATCTGTTGAGGTTCGGCCCTTTGTTCCAAAGATTTGCCCCACGTTCTGGCTCCCCACCCCTCCTCAAATGTTTGAACGACTGTCGTCCGCGACTGAAGAGAGTCGTCGCCCTTGTATAGGGGCCGATG